TGTGGTAAGCATCATGAACTGATTGTTCCTTTCGGCGAGTGAATTGTTCTGGGGATGTCCTGGAAGCGACTGGTCTAGTGGAATCCGGAGCTCCTTGAGTGCTACTTCAAATTGCGGCGCATCATCAGAGTAAGCGTTGGTGACCTTTCTCTTACCGATATAGTGCTTCATCGCCTGCACCACCTCGTCACTATTGCTTGCTTTCAATGGATAGCCCCATATCACACCAGTGAACCGATCTCGAATCACCAATACATCTTTATCCGGCATGATCCCATCTCTCGCCATTTTCTGAGTGTTCATGAGATCGAAGGTGATAAGGTCACCGAATGCCTTCAACTTTCGTTTGAAAGCTCCCTTGCTAGTCTTGTAGTGCTTCATCTTTGCCCTCACACATGACTTGCAGTATGGATTCTTGTATCGGTGCGTCATCAAGTGCAGTATGGATTTCGCCTCGTTCTTCAGCACTCCTGGTTTTGATAGTCTGGCTTCCCCGTCAATCACATCGACTTCCAATAGTCCCTCTTCATCTTCATCAATGTCACTCTCTTCTCGTTCAGAATCCGCATCACCTCCGTGTTCGTCGTCTTCGGCTTCTTCAGGCTGGCCATCGAGGTCACGATCGATTCCCGGTCTTCCCCGTCATATCCCTCTTCAGGAGAATATCCGTCATCACCGTGTTCCTCTGGTTCTCCTTCGTCGCCTACAACGGCTGGATTGATATCAGATTCATCACCCCGATCTTTCTGGTTATCTCTCTTCTTTCTCCTCCGTCTCCGTGGTTTCTTAGGCGGAGGCTCCTCTTGTTGTGTCTCCTGACCTGCTGTGGCCTCGTCTTCACGCTCCACACCTGACAATATGCGATGAAGTATCGTAGCCAAGCCATCCGATCTTGGCAAGCATCTCCCGTCGTCATCATTCACCTTGATATAGGGTATGTTGTCATGCACCGATAACGGAATCTTGTTCGCGTTCTGGTCGATGAGGTATGGCAATTGATTTGCCGGCCATATGAATGAGTACCCTTGTTCCATGCACCGCTTCCCAATGGAAAAGACTGATGGTGTGCTCTCCAACACGTGTGCCTCGGACATCATGGGTAGCTCGTCCACATTGATGTCCACCATCTCTGATGTACTAGTTACACCATTCGCTGTCATGAAGCTCACGGATTTGGGTCCTTCCTTGGTGGTAAGGCCCATGGCATTGACTTTCTCTCTTGATATCAAGTCGTGTCCACATCCCGTGTCCATGATGAAGCGTATCGGTGGTCCATCATACCTCTCCACAGCCATGAACATCGTGTCTCCCGGTATCGTGTAGTTGACAGAATCCTTCTTTACTACCTCGCTGGTGCTGAAGTCAGACAGGTCGACGTTCACCTCGATTCCTTCCTCTTGAGTGATTTGTATCCATGCCTTGGCAATGTGTTCAGCTGAGTATGACTCCATCATCTTACCTTTGGCATGTGCTACTCGTGCAGCTATATTATTCACTCTGAGGGCTCTCAACGATGTAATGAGCTCGGTATCCACCTTCTGTACCTCACTCTTCTTCTTCCTGAGGGGACGGGTATTTAGCTCGTTACCAGGATCGCAAGGAAACGTGGTCACATTCGCCTGGTCATCGAATCTGACTTTAAAGCGAAGCGCCAACCCACCTCGTCGTATATTGGGAAGTGCTGGTTGCATGTCCTCGTCATCACTCTCGATGTCCCCGCAAAGCATAAAGGCCGGTGCAGCTGGTTTGGGCTTGGCTTTGCCTTTAGCCTCTTGCTTTGCCGCAGGAGCAGCTTGGTGTTGACGTCGACATTTGTCCCCGAACTTGCATGATCCTTTCTGCCAATTCCAACAGACTTGATCCTTCATTGGCTTAGGGCTAGTGCTCCTACCACCAGGACTCTTTGACCTGTCACCCTTGAGGTTGTCTGGTTTCTTAGCAGAACTTTTGTGCTTCTCCTGGTGACTAAACTTGCATTTGTCTCCTCTAGAACATCCGTTCTTCCCATGGAAGTGGAAAGCGCATCCTATCTTAGACGTGTCTGCCAGAGTCGCTGATCTGCCACGGTCCCCTTTCGGGCTCTTCGCGGTTGACCTTCCACGATCCTGCTTCTTGTCCTTCTTTTGGTGATCCTTCGGATTATTCTGAGGAAGTACTGGAGCGGCGTCCTTCGGTGGATCGGCCTTGGTATTCTTGGGCTTCGCTTTAGGGTCCTTCTTCTCCGCTGGTGTAGCCTTCATAAGGTTCCCAAAAGCTTTTTCCCTTTCTTTCTTATTTGTGGTCTCGATTGATTTCCGTATCCACTTTGCCATGATCTCCCGTAACTTCTGATAGGTCTTATCCGGATCCTTATCCAACATGTTGTCGTACACAGACAAGTCTAACGCCATAACTTTGGAATCTTTAATCTTGTCCCAAAGCAAGTTGCGGAGTGCTTTGTCAGGAAGCATGTCATCCGCATCCATACCTGATATGATCTCATCCCACTGTCCAAGGAATCTGGATAGTTGATTATCTCCAGGGAACTTCAGATCGAATAAGTGCTTAGATGCATACATCACATCGACGTTGTCGGCACTCCGGAAGCTATCGACGATCAACGCTAACATTTCTCGTCCCTTAACCATTCCCGGGGTTGTGCCTCTCGCACGTCTCTGCATCATCTGCCTCACCTTCAGTTGTACGTCATGAGATCTCTCACCTGCTGCGTGGATAATCGTGTGTAGGGTGATACCTAGCTTAGCATCTATGCTAGCGAATCTTGCTTCGCCCGATGTCTCGAGCAGAAATGGGTCATATGGTGATTTGAAGGCATCCGAGAGCCACTGGATCCAATCTTCTTGTCTTTCGTCGCCCGATGCCGTCACGACTGCCGCTACAACTTGGGATTTCCAAACCTCCAAGTCGTGTATCTTGGGCCATGCAGGGATGTTGATCTTCTCGTGTTCCTTCCAAGATATCTTGGAGCCACCCGAGCTAGAGGATGAAGCGGCACCATGTTCGGTTGCAGCTGCATTCTCAGCGTTCATGCGCTCCTCTTCATACCTCTTCCGGTACTTATTCCTCTCATCTCTGAGTCGTGCTGCATGTGCTTCGAATTCCATCATGTCCTGCTGGTTCTGCATCATACCTTCGTAGTACTCCATCGCCTCTTTCTCCTCGGACCTTAATGACTTTTCGGTGCGTTCAAGTTCCGCTTTAAGCCTGGTCATCATCTCACTCTCCACATTGGATTCTGATCCCATGTCTGGTGGTTTCATCTTCAGTGCGACTTTCAGCTGTGCTTCACTCGCGCTAGATTCGATCAATTCTTCCTGAAGACATTTCAACATCCTCTCTTTACGTAGAATGTCTTCTTCCAACATGTTCATCTTGACCTCAGCTTTCTTGAGTTCGACGTTGGATGGTTGAGACGGTCGGTCGGATCCTTGAGTCCTCGCCTGCGTCAACTCCTCGTTCGCCCTCTTCAATTGTTCTCTGATGGTCATGATGAAATTGTCCTGATTATAAGATCGGTTGTTGAGCTCCTCATTCTCTTCTGATAACCATTTGATCTTGCTTGTATACATTGCTTCCTTCATCTTCATCTCCTCGGCATATTCGTGTTTGTTCCTGACACTCTGCCTTTGTAGTCCAACTATCTCCTGCCTATACAGATCCCTAATGTTCTCAGCATCTGCGACTGCAGTCATGAGCTCCGTCACAGCTCGATCTCTTTCCGCCGATATAGCCTGGATCTCTTCCGTGCCGATGTTCACGACTTGACTAACCATCTCTGCGCTGTTGCGATCAGCGTACTCCCCTAACTGGGTGAGACGATCCCGCATTGCCACACGATCAGTGTCAATCTGGTATTGCAAATCGTGTGCTGCTGAGAGCAAACAGTCTCTGGATTCTGTAAGTTGGGAGATTCTTCGTTGATTTCCATATCCTTCGACATAACATTCTTCGAGGTGTGTCATCACTACTTCGTGGACTTCGGTCTCGTGTTGTATAATCTGGTTCTGTCTCTGCTCACATTCGACCATCCATGCGTTTTGGTGGTTCAACATATGCACTTCGGCAAGTAGTTGTGCACACTTCGCATTGAGGTCTCCATCGGCCCGTGCTAGTTGTAGGTTGTCGGTGCTTGCCCTTGCTCCATCTCCAGCTTCGCTGTCCGATGGCACTGGTACAGTTGACCCATCCTCCAATGCTAGCACTCTCACAGCTCCGGTGTCAGTTCTCCTCCTTGTCTCTCTAGGGCTACGGCCCGATCTCGGTGTCCCCCCCGGTGGTGTCGAGTGCGCTGACGGGGAACGACTTCGTGCTCTACCTGTCGCAACTTCTCTCACCACTGTCAGAGTCTCCGCTTCGATCGTACCTGGACTAGAGTTGTGGGATGCACTCACCCGATCTGCGGCCGCAGCGGCTGCTCCAAAGGATGCAGTGCTGGCGTCGGATTGGTCCATCTTCAGTGACTGAGGGTAACTGATCTATCCGATGCGTGTGCGTTTAGATGGTGTTGTGTAAGGCCGTAGCTCGTACCCAGCTCGAAGGAGTCTGGATACGGCTGATAACCTGCGAACGGATGAAAAGCGTGCCCCTGGCCCCGTTCTAGCCCTTAGCCTAACATGAAGCTCGCGCGCTAAAGCTCCTTTTTACCTGGTTGGGCACTTGAGCCAAATGTGTATGGCAAGTACCTATATAGAAGCTATACTGAGACCTCATCTCTATTGACAATATATATAATATAATATATTAATATATACATAATGTACATAATGTACATTACATAGATTCGAGTCGTGTATAGTATTAAAAAAAGGTCGTCAAAAGGTTGGATCTGTACACTTGGATTTGTAGATGATTGAATGATCATTACTCATCGATCATGACTTATATACTTGTACAGAACATAACAAATTCCATCAAATTCCTCGATATTGTCGGGAAGGCTCTTGTTGAGCTGACACAACAAGAAAGTGTCATTCTGTTCGACCCTTTACTTCAAACTGGTCCTTGTCCATTTTCACCAGGGTCTCAGCCAATGCCAACGCTGCCCCGGTCCTCAGTGCTTCCGACCGCGTCAGCTCGCGATCCGGAGTCATGCACCGACGAACGAATGCAATGCGTGCCGCTCTGTCTTTTTCTTCGCAACGAACGCAAGTCCGTACCTTTTGAGGTCTCACTGTTCAGCCTGCAGTGGAGATTGGTGAGGCAAACAATGCCACTAGCCTTACAGTTCACAGGTGTTCTGTTATGTTTCTGACATCATTTTTCGTTTTTTTTTTTGAGTTTTTCGGAGATGAACGGAATTGGCATTCACTTCTGTCACATCGTGTTGTCACATCACTGTCCGGTCGAAGCGGGCTGCGGCCTGAGCCCGGTCTCATTCATCTTTGGCTCCCATTTGTTGCCGGATGAACCTGGGCTGAGGACCATTTGTTGCCAATTTCACCGTTTCTTTTTGAAGAAGTCAATCAGAGAATCATCTTCCTCCATGTCAGAGTATGGTCTGGTCTGTCCGAATATTCGCCCATCCCGTGCCTTCTACAAAAACTGTCGAATCAAGCAGCTGCTCGGGGGTTTGGTTCTCTGTCGCGTACTTCAGGGCAACTGCACCCAGCGTCAACTGAATGAACCTTGGATGCTCAACGTTAAGCAACAGCCCAGGCCCAAGATTGCCTTTTCCTGAAACATGTAAAAGAGAATCCAGTCATGAAATTCCGTGGTGAAACCCAAATGAGCAGCGTCAAAACCCATCAAGAAAGGAATTTAGATGAGGTGTTCAGGTAATGGCCCGCGGAAGTGAACACCAGGGTGCGAAAGCCTTGAGAAAGCTTCGTTGCGAAAATTCATTCGGTAGCTTTTCTGGAATACGTGTTTCTTCTATTAACCACTTGCGCACAAAACGACGAGGGTTCCGCCGCGAAAGTGGCGAGCAAGAATACTTTGAAATGAGGCCCGAGAAAGTCAAAAAGGCCGGTCGGGAAAGACCTAGGTTGGAACCTCGCCGCAACCAGGTTTTTGAAACAGCTCAAATGGCCCATGCTTGTTGCACCATGCTTAACGTTGGTGGGAGATCAATGTGATTGGCATTCTTGGTGCCGGCCACTCTGGAGCTGGTTTTGGCCCACAAATCCATCCTTTCTAAGGCAGAAGGGTGCTCCACTCCCGAAAGTTACCCTTCTACCCAAGATGACCATGCTTCATCTTGATCGAGCGATGGACCTCCAAGACTTAGCAACTACCAGCACCACTTGCTCACAAGGCGCTTGCTGAGGTAGACTGTCACCTAAAGTGATCCGGAAAAAAAACAATGAACTGAGGCTGCAGTATCTGAGGAAACAGAGTCAAAAAGGCACTAGCAAGTATCAAAAAACATCTTTGGCAGAATGGTCAGGATGAAGGATACGGATAGCTGGGCGTGGCTTCCACAATATACAATAAACGACTTACTTCTCCGACTCAATTGCGGGCTCCTCTCGATCATCACTAAAAGTGGTTTTCCTGCAATTCCATGGCATTCCCCCTTTTACTCAGGCAAGCCATCATTGACTGAAAGTCGCCAGAATTTTGATTTCATTCATCTTCGCCATCATCCCAGCAATGACAATCACTGCGCTGGGAATGGGGATTGGGATGACCTGCAAGCAAACTGATTTTGATCTTCCTGAGTTTGAAGCACCGGCCAACTACTAATTATATAAGGGCTTGTTAATGAATGATCACCAATGCATTCCACTGCATTCGCCTGCATGACCATTAGATGTAAGCTGCAAATAGTTTCATTCAGCATTTTCACAACTTGGATGATGCAGAACCACAAAGTATATATATATATATATATGTTGGAATCTGGAACGTATCTTAATCTCTGCAGAAAGCCAGGATCTGTACCATTCTGTAGTCATCTTTCATTCCCAGTCGGCCTGCATCCCCACGAGGCCGAGAACGCCCCAGTCATTGGCCCAGGACTGCGCCTGTGGAATTTCCCAAAAAACACAGCCAGCGGCAGCGGGCCCTCAGCCAGCGGCAGCGGGCCCTTTTCAAACGACACTCCCAAAGACACCCGCTGTGGGATGCACAACATGTTGAAGACTCTGCAACTGGTTGGTGAAGGCTCAAGGGTTTCTTCTCTCAACTAGAAATAGATAGAAGTAGAACTTGAGAGGAGGGAGACACGAAAGGTAGGACAGCAGGAAGAGAAGAGAACACGAGAGGCAGGAACAAAAATGCAATGTTCGACATGGTGATGCCCCAAACGACAATGCAGGGGAGGCTAGATGGAACAATGACTTCCAAAGCTCTAGGGAGAAATCACTCCGACCCGGAAGCACCCACACTTGCTTCACAAAACAAACTCTAGGTATTGATCCCCTCGAAGGCGACCTTTCGTGATTAGAATTTCGACCGCAATGCATTCATATGCACTCTGAATGTTCAAGAGGGTTTCAACTATCCTGAAATCATGAGAGGCTCACGAAGACGTTCTCCAGGAGAGAATTGAATTTAGAGGGGGGGAGGGGGGGGGGTCCGTATTGAGAAGTCAATTCCAAGGGGGCGGGGGGTGAAAGAGTGACTAGGGCGTACACGGTAGAGGTGCAGACCGCTAGTGTCTTTTATGCGCAGAGTCTTATCCTCTTGCTCTTTGAGCCTTGAAGCAGTCAAGCATGGACACACTATATCAGCTGTTGGAGTGGAGCCCTGTACAGGTAGGCTCTACTTTTCAGCAGGCACAAGATTCATGTCCACTTCTAGCTGATTGCGTATGTCGCATACTCTTTTTCTACTGCAAGGCTAAAACAGTCCAGCTAGCTCTGACAACTTAAAAGAAAACTACGGTGCCATGTACTTATCTAATCCAGTGTGTTTCACACTTTGGAGAAGGTAATCTCATAGCTACTAAATACAGTGAAGGAGCAATAGCTGACTCACCTCAAGTACAAAATCAAAACGATAATGTACCTCGGCTGGAGACTGTACTTTTCGCAGGCGGAGATACCATGTACCGGCGCTCACTAGCTCTTTATGGCCTGAGCTAAATCAAACTAAAAGGGAAAGCGGCTTTTTCTCTACAGAGACCTATAAAAGAATCAAACGACACTCGCGTAACAAAGAACTAAAAATTCAAGACCGCGCAATGCAATGAATTAAGATGCCTTGCAAAATGCAAGGAGCGTACGGTCCGAGGAATAATCTTCTCGTAACGTGGTCTCGACCGCTTTCATTCACAGACAAAATAAACTGCATCAAAAGGACTCTTTCTCACATTCACAACAAAAACACAAGAAGGAGATACCGGCAAATGTATGTACAAAAATCTTGCACTACAATTGCAAATCATGAAATGACTTAATCATCAACCATGACTGGTTGTCCATTAGAGGTCACTTCATAAGAGCGGTGGTGATAGATATCATCAGTTATGTAAAACTGTCCATACCTATCTACATGCTAAAGCGTATAACCCTGGATTGCAGGAGTATCTTCTTTGATAAAAAGTTTCTCCTGGTTCCAAACCAGAGTTTATTAAAACTTCAGCCTGGCAACTTAAAGTCAAGCCTGGAAGCAAAGTATCAACTGTAACCAGAAGTATCTTCACTTCCTAGCCATCATTTAAATTTCAGCCTTCGCTCAGGAATTATGCCGCTGCAGACGATGAAGCTGCTTGATCAGAAGTTGGCGGCCTTCCTTTCTTTCTATTCTGCCTTTGTCTCTCCTTCCTCCGCACGTTCGCCTCTTGAAGCGTTGCTCCCATGCGATACTGTCTTCTGTCTCCAGATGAAAGGGAAGCTGGTCTGAGTGAAATAAACATTGGACCATGACTGTCCTCGTCAGTGGGCCTTGAGCACATAACCTCTGTGTCAATCATAGCAAAGTTCTCTGAAAAATTACAGATGAACTCCTTCGTGCTCACTGTGGAATTTTCATATTCCTCTTCACTCGTTGAATGACCCCATTCAACAATGGTAGACAAACATGTATCGCCAAGCTGTGATCCTTGGTATTCTTCTTTTTCAACAGTAGAATATTCTTCCCAGAGTTTATCAAAGTAAACTTCACACTTCTTGAGGACCTGTGAAGTTGAACTGTAAAATGTTCTGGGAATAGGTGCCTTAATACCAAGATCTGCTTTTACACGAGCTTCTGAAAACCTGCGGATCCAATGCTGAATGGTGCTGTAATAGTAGTTAGCCATTGGCTGCCCTTTGTACCCAGACATTCTGTAGGCCAAACTATTTGCATCACCAGAAATGATGTCCACCTCATAGACAAAACACTCATAAAGCATCAATGCTGTCTGTTCTCCTGTCAGTAGGTGGGCATCCACAGCACGGTGTGTATCAACATGATAATTACAGACTCTGATGGTATGCATGTTCGCTCGAGTAAGTGGAACACGCTTGTCCTCAGGACCATAGTCATCAGTTTCAAAGTCTGCATCCTTGAAATCTTGACGAGGCCTTGTTTCTCCAAAACAAATCTCGTAGATAGCCCAAGTTACATCACGCTGTTCACAGTGACCAAGATCTTGGTCATGTCCAGCAATGATCTTGACATATCCACCTGGTGCCAATCTAGCCATCACTGCAAGATTCTCCCAATCATTGAAACAAACTGTCCAATTCTTTTGCTCAATAAATTCCTTGGCAGGAACAAGAAGATGAGCTTCCTGGAGAATCACGACATGTGCACGTAAAAAGAAGAGCATATTGAAGAAAAGATTGTTTTCAAATTGCTCATATTGAAGTGACATGGCACTCTGCTTGCGTGGCTTCATTGCACCATCAAGTCCTTGGAGAAACCTTGGTGTGGTGTACTTCTGACCACGAACCATGTTGCCATAGTTCCAGGATAAAAATGTCAAGGACTCTGAGCTGGCCAATAAGTTAGTTCCATATGGTTCTTCTATTCTTCCTTTGAGGAACCTTCTGCACAGCTCTTCATAGAAGGTGACAAAGTCCCAACTGGGTCCCTTGGGACCATATGATTCCAGTTCCTTCTTGAGTTCCTTCTTCGTATCCTCCAATTCTTCTCGAGCATGACCTGCCCTTTCAAGGGCC